TTTTTTTTCCTTTTTTTCTTTCTTTTTTTTCTGTTTCTACAGAAGAGATAAGGCACAATGAAATGAAAGGTAAAATAAATGTCTCTATGTATAGGACAACGCAGTGAAATATGGCAACAAAAAATACCACTTAGTTCAAGGAGATTTCCTGCAGTCAGTGTTCCCATCAGGTGAAGGGATATAAGATTTACTTGCAGTGGATATGATGCCTCATATTCTTTCTTATTAAAACAGACGTTTGTTGCATCATTTCTTGTTGGGCATTTCTAGAAAAATACAAAGGATACTGCAAGTCCTCTTGCCTCATAGCAAGAGCGCAGAGGCAAAAAGAGAGGAGACAAAAAGAGGAAAGCAGAATATTCCACAGAGCGGGGGATAGAGTCACCCTCAGGAGGAGGCACATGTCTTACCAGAAAGGAAAATAAGAATCCCTAAGGAGTGGCCCAGGCTGACATCATTTGCCTTTGCTGGACTCTACCAGCATGTTCACTGAGGCTGTTAACCACACAGACTTGTGTTGAGCGGAAATGCTTGGGCCTCCCTTCTTGCTACTCAGTGGATGCCTTCAGTGTGGGATGGGCATGATCTAAAGCTGGTAATGAAACACAGCAGCACAGGAAGAAAACACATGGCCCATATCATTACCCAAGGTGATCTGCATTAAAGAAGAACTTGTCAGAAAATAATCACTATTATAAGCACTGCCTCTGGATATGGGGCAGTGTGGGACCATTATAAAAGGCAGCCCAGGTCCTTGCTCCCTCATCCACTACTCCAGCCACCTTCCTCTTCGGAACCAGGTGAGTGTGAGTCCCCTTCTTGTCTCTCTCCCTCTCCAGAAGGCAGCCTGAGCCCCGTGAACCTCTCATCTGCTGTCAACTCTCTTCCATGCCGAATCTTGGAGCTGCTTGTCAATGAAGAGGGAAGAGGGGAGAAAGTTTTTCTGGGAGGGTGCCTGGGCCTGCACTCGCGGGCTTTCTGGGCTAGGGTCTCAGGAGTAGCTGAATAGGCAGTGGAGGCTCTATCTGGATCCTGAGAGAAGGAGGTCAAGATAGCCTTGGCCCTCTCCAGAATGGCTCCAGCTCCCTGCATTGCATGTGCCTTGGTTCTCTCACTGTGGGATAGCAGATTGTTCCACACTCTCCAGGTTCTCTGTCCAACCCTCTCTCCCAACAGGTGCACATTCAGAACCAAGTCATGTCCTGCTGCAACCCGTGTGTGCCATGCCGGCCCTGCGGCCCCACTCCTCTGGCCAGCAGCTGCAATGAGCCCTGTGTCAGGCAATGCCAGGACTCCACCATCGCCATTGAGCCCTCTCCCGTGGTGGTGATCCTGCCCGGACCCATCCTCAGCTCCTTCCCACAGAACACCGTTGTGGGCTCCTCCACCTCCGCTGCTGTTGGCAGCATCCTCAGCTCTGAGGGTGTGCCCATCACCTCGGGGGGCTTTGACCTCTCCTGCATTTCCAACCGCTACTGTGGCAGAAGGTGCTACTAGAGATGCTGGGCACGGCCCCACACAAGGAACCCCACGATCTCAGGACACGGTGCTGGACAGGAGAACTGACTTTGTGCTGCTGTTTTCAGTGTAGATGACCATGTCTGGCTTGCTCTGTCAGGATAGACAGCAGGGGCCTGGCTGGCTTCTCTGGCAACATGGCCAATGTCTACCAATGTTCTCTTCCACTCACTCTTTCTCACTCTTCTCTTTGTTGTCTTCTGCTCTCCCTAAATCTGTCTGTGATGGTCCCAGAAACCAACCGAGTGAACTGCCAGCCTCTCTCATTCATGAGCGCTTAGATAGCTGTCCTCCTGTGGCAACTCTGCCATAGGAAAAGGGCATCAGATTCTCGTCTGCACCTGCTGCTCCCCACACTTGGGGCCTCCACTTGGAGTGACATCATTTCCCTCCTTAGACTCAATAAACTTTTTCTGCATCCTTCGTTGTGTCCCTCTGTGATTTTTTCTACTTCTGCTTACTATGGTCAGATGAGAGAACTCTTGCTCTGATGGGAATTAGCACAAATCCATCACTCCCTTGAGCACTGGAGGGTGGGGCACACTGTAGACATTCATCCTTCATTCACGTCTAGAGCTACATCTAGGGCAGCCTTGCCGCAGATCTGCTGCATGTGTGCCTATTTGTTTGGAGTCCTCCTATTGTCCCCAAGGCCTTACTGGGCTCCCTGTTAGTCTAGGACAGTTGTTGAATGGAGCATCCAGCCTCATCGCTCCAGAGTCTGCCTTTGGTTGAGCCTTAGTCCAAGCTATCACCCTGGAATCGAGTCAAGCTACACATAACACATCTCCTGCCTGCACTCCAGCAGAAATTGATAGATGTTTCTCGTATGGAATTAACTGACATTCTAAAGCTGGATTCTTGATTGACTGCCAGACTCACCCTTCAGGTTTTCCCTGCTTTTGATAATGACATGACCTTTGGATGCCAGAATCAAGATAACTGAGAAAGCTGAGCAGTCTAAAAAGGAGAAGAAGAACTAAACACCTGCTTCTATGGAAGTGCGGAACAATGGTCTGCAGTTTCCTAGATTGTCTTCTTCCCCTTTTTGAAGACTGTGGATGGCATTGGCTATCCTCCAGTCTTCTGATATCTCTCCTGTTCACCACTACTTTTCTAACGCTGGTTCGGCAGTCAATTCTGCCAGATTTTACAATAAGCATGAATTCTTGCCATCAGGCCCCATGTATATGTTTATTTTGACTAGATGATCTCTGAGAAGATCCTCTTCGACCAGGATGAAGTCTTCTGTTCTCCAGACTCTCTTTTATCCCCAGGATTTCGGATTCTTGTGGGGTAGTCTTAGAATTATAGTCTGAATCAAAGAAGATGTTCCATTTTTCTGCCTTCTTTGGGTTTCCCATTACTAGAGTACCTATCTAATTCACCACAGTAACCACATTTTTCTTAGTCCACCTTTTTCTACTGACACACTTCAAAAAGCTTTTCTTGTTATTCTTGACCTCTCTTGCCAGATAGAATTCTCAGTGGGCCTTAGCATTCCCCACTGCATCCATTCAGACCTTGTCACCATTCATGTATTTTTCCTAAATATGTAGGTTTTATTTCCACATTTCATGGATCTTCTTCCCTTTGATTTTCTTCATGAACTCCTTGCTCATCCATGCATGTCTCCTGCCATTTTTTCTCAATTTCATAAAAAAGCCAGACTGGGGTGTGCAGCTGGTCACCTGCTTTCTCCTCAGATGAAAGATCGATCTTTTGCAGCCATTCCCCATCTCTCTATGCAGAAGGGCTGTATCCCAAACAGTTCTGCAAGATGAGAAGAGCAAATCTCACAGCCGACAATACTGCACTGTACAGTGATGCTCAGCACTCACACTCCAGTCCAACTGCTGTTGTGCAGCAGCTTAGACTCTCTCAGCCCAGCTGCCCTGATGCTTGAGGCCTGATGAGATAGAGCCAAGACTGGCCAGGGACTTCCATCTTCACCAACCATAAAAAGCATTCTATTTCCCCCTCAGGATCAAGACAAAGGCTTGGAAGAATCACTGGTTCTCTAGGAGGGGAAGATGGGTACACAGCAGCAGGAACTCCTTTTGGCATGAGCCTGTGATCTGGCCACTCAGATCCTTCTCTTGGCCTTTGCTGCAGCTCCACAGATTCTGTGGGCACTAGTGCATGTGCATGTGTTCATCTCTTACATCAACATTGAGAAGGACAAGTAACAGCCTTAATCCAAAATGTGCTATCATGATTTTCCCTGCATCTCTAACTCAAAGTCCCATGTCTCATTCTTGGAGAGCTTCAGGGGACAAGACATCTGCACAGGAAAGCCTGAGCAGGTGTTCAGAGAATAGATTCTAGCACTGTTGGTAATGCACAGGAGATTGACGTGTGAACTTGCATCTCCTGTCCTTTCCCTGCTATGCTGCCAAGCACTGGATGAATCACAAAAGATTAAAAAAAAAAATGCTAAACGTATCAGGCAACCCATACCACTACCATAGCAAGTGTTTAGTTCTTCTTTTCCTTTTTAGACTGCTCAGCTTTCTCAGTTATCTTGATTCTGGCATCCAAAGGTCATGTCATTATCAAAAGCAGGGAAAACCTGAAGGGTGAGTCTGGCAGTCAATCAAGAATCCAGCTTTAGAATGTCAGTTAATTCCATACGAGAAACATCTATCAATTTCTGCTGGAGTGCAGGCAGGAGATGTGTTATGTGTAGCTTGACTCGATTCCAGGGTGATAGCTTGGACTAAGGCTCAACCAAAGGCAGACTCTGGAGCGATGAGGCTGGATGCTCCATTCAACAACTGTCCTAGACTAACAGGGAGCCCAGTAAGGCCTTGGGGACAATAGGAGGACTCCAAACAAATAGGCACACATGCAGCAGATCTGCGGCAAGGCTGCCCTAGATGTAGCTCTAGACGTGAATGAAGGATGAATGTCTACAGTGTGCCCCACCCTCCAGTGCTCAAGGGAGTGATGGATTTGTGCTAATTCCCATCAGAGCAAGAGTTCTCTCATCTGACCATAGTAAGCAGAAGTAGAAAAAATCACAGAGGGACACAACGAAGGATGCAGAAAAAGTTTATTGAGTCTAAGGAGGGAAATGATGTCACTCCAAGTGGAGGCCCCAAGTGTGGGGAGCAGCAGGTGCAGACGAGAATCTGATGCCCTTTTCCTATGGCAGAGTTGCCACAGGAGGACAGCTATCTAAGCGCTCATGAATGAGAGAGGCTGGCAGTTCACTCGGTTGGTTTCTGGGACCATCACAGACAGATTTAGGGAGAGCAGAAGACAACAAAGAGAAGAGTGAGAAAGAGTGAGTGGAAGAGAACATTGGTAGACATTGGCCATGTTGCCAGAGAAGCCAGCCAGGCCCCTGCTGTCTATCCTGACAGAGCAAGCCAGACATGGTCATCTACACTGAAAACAGCAGCACAAAGTCAGTTCTCCTGTCCAGCACCGTGTCCTGAGATCGTGGGGTTCCTTGTGTGGGGCCGTGCCCAGCATCTCTAGTAGCACCTTCTGCCACAGTAGCGGTTGGAAATGCAGGAGAGGTCAAAGCCCCCCGAGGTGATGGGCACGCCCTCAGAGCTGAGGATGCTGCCAACAGCAGCGGAGGTGGAGGAGCCCACAACGGTGTTCTGTGGGAAGGAGCTGAGGATGGGTCCGGGCAGGATCACCACCACGGGAGAGGGCTCAATGGCGATGGTGGAGTCCTGGCACTGCCTGACACAGGGCTCATTGCAGCTGCTGGCCAGAGGAGTGGGGCCGCAGGGCCGGCATGGCACACACGGGTTGCAGCAGGACATGACTTGGTTCTGGATGTGCACCTGTTGGGAGAGAGGGTTGGACAGAGAACCTGGAGAGTGTGGAACAATCTGCTATCCCACAGTGAGAGAACCAAGGCACATGCAATGCAGGGAGCTGGAGCCATTCTGGAGAGGGCCAAGGCTATCTTGACCTCCTTCTCTCAGGATCCAGATAGAGCCTCCACTGCCTATTCAGCTACTCCTGAGACCCTAGCCCAGAAAGCCCGCGAGTGCAGGCCCAGGCACCCTCCCAGAAAAACTTTCTCCCCTCTTCCCTCTTCATTGACAAGCAGCTCCAAGATTCGGCATGGAAGAGAGTTGACAGCAGATGAGAGGTTCACGGGGCTCAGGCTGCCTTCTGGAGAGGGAGAGAGACAAGAAGGGGACTCACACTCACCTGGTTCCGAAGAGGAAGGTGACTGGAGTAGTGGATGAGGGAGCAAGGACCTGGGCTGCCTTTTATAATGGTCCCACACTGCCCCATATCCAGAGGCAGTGCTTATAATAGTGATTATTTTCTGACAAGTTCTTCTTTAATGCAGATCACCTTGGGTAATGATATGGGCCATGTGTTTTTCTTCCTGTGCTGCTGTGTTTCATTACCAGCTTTAGATCATGCCCATCCCACACTGAAGGCATCCACTGAGTAGCAAGAAGGGAGGCCCAAGCATTTCCGCTCAACACAAGTCTGTGTGGTTAACAGCCTCAGTGAACATGCTGGTAGAGTCCAGCAAAGGCAAATGATGTCAGCCTGAGCCACTCCTTAGGGATTCTTATTTTCCTTTCTGGTAAGACATGTGCCTCCTCCTGAGGGTGACTCTATCCCCCGCTCTGTGGAATATTCTGCTTTCCTCTTTTTGTCTCCTCTCTTTTTGCCTCTGCGCTCTTGCTATGAGGCAGGAAGACTTGCAGTATCCTTTGCATTTTTCTAGAAATGCCCAACAAGAAATGGTGTAACACATGGCCCCCGTCAATGTGAAAGAGTTAGAGGAGCCACACATCCACCGGGTGAATCTTCTGTCTTTTCTGAGGATGGGAACACTGATTTTGTGTCATTGTATAGGACAAAATGGATTTTTCTGAAATTACACTGTGATTATCCTCTCCTTAAAGCGCTCTTTCTTTCTTTCCACATCATAGTGCCTTTTGTTTTTTCTACAAGTATATATTGTATATATTTTATATATGTATATTTATATTGTTTATATTTTATATATGTGTTAAAAACATATTTCTGTGATTATTCCCTGCAGTTCTCAGCACAGGTTAGTACAGCTCTAATAGGTGGCCCAACAGAGCAAACATCAACATCAGTGGCTCCAATGTATTCTTCAGGTCTGTCAGTGCGCCCTTCCTCTCTTTGCAGTCTCTCTGAGTATTATGCAATCTCATTAACAGATAGAGGGCCATTAGCATACACTTGTGCCTTCTCTGTGTTGGATTTGTGCAGATGTCTGTGAGTGCCGAAATGTGCATGATTCACTTCTTGTAGACATGAGCAAGTGCCCTGTGTCCCAGGCTGCAGCCCATGACCTATTGCCACAGCTGATTTTCCAGTTCTGCAGTAGTGCAGAGTGACCTGCATGGCAGCTCATCATACTCTCACCCACGTCAGGCACAGCCGAGGGACCAGGGTTCAGCAACACCACCTCATCCCATCTTATCCTGTCTCTCTGCTGTCCTTCCAATCCCTCTTGCTGGGGATGCTGTAGGTGCTCAGCTGCTTTCTCCTCTTCCAAAGGTGTTTTGCAACAATTCCCCATCCACGCCCAAAATATGCTGCATGGTGGGAAGAGCACAGTTCACAGTAGACAAAGCACTGGATGTGCAGACTTGCCCAGCAGTCACATTTCAATCCAACTTCATTAAGAAACTGAGTAAAAATGGCAGGAGATCTGCATAGATGAGAAAGAAGTTCATTGAGAAACACCAGGAGAACGTGCAAGTTTATGCAGTGTGGAAAAAGAGTCTGGCAACCTGGGAGGAATGTATGAATGGTGTCAGGGACTGCAAGGATACAGTGATGAAGGTTAAGGTCCACTTAGAATTAAATCTGGTGAGGGAGATGAAACACAATATGAAAGGCTTATTTAAGACTGCCAACAGCAAAAGAAAGATGGGAGAAAATGCGGGTTTTCTGCTTAACAGGGAGAGTGCCCTGGTAACAGGGGATGCTGAGAAGGGGGAGATGATGAATATTGACCTTGCTTCAGTCTTCACTTCTAAAACTGCCTCTTGGACATTCCAGACCATGGAGGTAAGAGAGAGAGTCTGGAGAAAGGATGCTTTCCCCATGGTTGAGGAAGGCTCAGAAATCATCTAGGCAAAATCAATGCACACAGATCCATGGGCCCCAATAGGACTCACCCTTGAGGGATTAGAGGAATAGCAGGAGTGATTGCCAAACTGCTCTTTATCACCTTCAAAAGATCTTGGAGAATGGGATAGGTGCCTAAACTTTGGAGGATAGCCAATATCACTCTAGTCACACAGGCACATTAACATTTGTAGGGTCATCAGCATGCACTCACATCTTCTGTGTGTTGGATTTGTGTAAATGTCTGTGGGTGCCGGTTTATGAATTCCCTTCATGAGTGCGTGAGAAGGTGCACAGTGTCATGGGCCACAACATAGAACTCATTCCTGTGACTGAGTTTTTGTAGTTACAGTAGTGCTGGGTGACCTGTGTCATCCTACATCATCCTGCTCTGACCCATGTCAGGTGCACCCAGGGATACAGAGCACTACACCACTGCTCTTTATTACCTAAGAAAGGGTGTTAGAAGGAAGCAGGGCAGATGGGTATGTGTAGAGCAGCCTGGAAATTCTTTCCTAAGGCAGCCATGGCATCTCCTAAAGAGGGAGACATTAAGTCATACCCCTTTGTTGTGCTAGGACCTTACAAGGAACATTCATTTCTTCTCAGCAGTGGCTGTGAGCAAAGACCAAGTGCAGCGGGAGCTGCCAGCCAAGACCAGTCAGGGCAGTGGCATCAGTATCACCTACTCACTTCCCAACAGACAGTCCAGTGATTACATCCACTGGTACTGTCATCTCTGGGGCCAAGGCCTTGCATTCCTCATGAGCGACCCTAAAGGCCCCAAGGAGGTGACAGTTCCAGTAGAGTGGCTGTCAGTGGTAGAACAGTCCTGTCTGAGCCTGCAGAAGAGTGCTACATCCAATGCAGCCAAACTCCATCCTGACTAGGGTGCACCTCCCTGAATTCTCTAGTGAAAAGTCTGTAGTACTCATAGCAACCATTGACTTAGGCCAATGTGAGTAAAACCGTTAGGTCTGAGGTAGGCAAGATGGTATGCAACATGATATCCAAGTCCTGAAAAATCCTTGGAAAATGGGAACTGTGGAGAAATGGAATCAACAGTCAGAGAATGCCTTCTGGTGAGTGAAAAAAGAGACAGAACAAGGAGAATTTTGGAAATGATACATGTGTAGGAAACTACATGAAAGAATACTCAGATGATGAGAACAGAAACCATAAGGTCAAGGATTTCAGTGGATATTTTGCCCAGCATGCCAGGCTCAGAAGAGGCTCAGTATCGCAATAGAAATGGACAATGATGTACCTGGTTCGCAATAAATACTTTGAGATAATTTGGTGCTGGTTCCTTCCCACAGTTACAAAGGTGAGGAGGTTTCCATCAAGATTAGGAGAAACCTGCGGAAAGGAATGACGAACAGGACCATGTGCCACCTGGAATGGTCTATTAAGACCAAGAGTATGAATTGAATCACAAATATCTTGTTCATCTTTGCCATGGCTCTAAGATTTCAGAAAGAAATGATATCAGAGCAAGGATTCATACTGCAGTGAGGGCACCAGTAAACTTTAAAATTGAAGCCTTTGTCTGTCCTGTATCGCTCTTCTTATGGCCTCTATTGACAACTGCCCACCTCATTTTTCATCTATTCCTCTCATTCTCTGTCTCTTCTTTCATACAGACAGGAATGCAAATATTCATCCTTCCTTCTCCAAGTATCCATTCACCCACTCTTAATTTCATGACTGTCCCTGGAGGTGAGATATGAATTAATTGATCAAGTCTGGAGAACAGGGTATTCACACTAACACACAAGAAAGAACTTCTTTACAGTTAGGGTGTCAGAGGACTAGAACAGGCTGTTAATCTTTGTGGGTTTTTTTTGTCTGTTAGATTTTCCAACATAAATTGCAGTATTCTGCTCCTCAAAAGGAAATGTTAATGTACCCTGATTAGGCCCAGCCATGTTCCTAGTTCTCTCACTCCATGCTTTACTATGCCTGTATTACTAAAAGGCCAAAATACTGTCTTGCCTAGAATAGCTTGGTAATGTCTAGAAGGAATCAAGCATTGAAGAGCTTTGGAAAGTAAATCCTGCTGAGAACACAATCCACAAAACTGAGTGAGCAGATTGCTTCAAGAGGGAAAGGAAGAAAATAAGAGCTGCTGGGATAGTGGTATGGGTGGCCCCACAAAGTTGAGTGAAAACTTTGCATGTCCAGGACATCAAGTGCTTGGCAGCAGAGCAGGGGTAGAAGGACAGCAGATGAGAGATTCACACACAATGCTCCCAAGCAATACCAATAATGTCAGAGTCTGCCCACAGAACACCACCTCAGACTTTCCTGTGCAAGGATGTTGTGGGAGACAGTATCAATTGGTTTGCTGAAATCAATATCCACTGATCTCCTTTCATCTTGACAGCTGGCTATCAGGTTAATCAAGCATGATTTCCACTTGTGAATCCATGTTGACAACACCTGATAGCCTTCTTTTCTTTCCATTGCTCAGATATGGCATCCAGAACAAGTTGCTCCATCACATTCTTCAAGGATGGAGATGAGACTAATTGATCCATAGTTTACTGAATTGTCCTTCGTGACTTAAAGTCTGGAGTGCCATTGGCTATTTTCCAGTTTTCAGTCACCTCTTCCTTTCTCCAAAACCTTTCAAGGATGACAGAGAGTAGTTTTGCAATCTACCAGCTCTCTAATCAATCATGGACGAATTCCATTGGGGCCCATGGACTTGTGCACAATAATTTTGCCTAGATGATCTCTGACCAGCTCTTCCTCAAACATGAGGAAATCATCCTTCCACCTGACTCTCTCTTACCCACAGGAATGTAAGACACGATGGTTGTCTATGAGGATATTCTTGCTCTTTCTCAATCAGAAATGATCTACCCTGAATGAAACAGTGCTGGCAGGCTCGGATCAGCTTTGTTATTAAAACAGCCCTTTGTTACACCATTTATTTGTTGGGCATTTCTTTTAAGATGTGGAAAGGACTCTGCAAAACTTATTGCCTCATATTAAGAACATTGAAGCAAAATGAGTAGAAACAAAGTAGGGCAGCAGAATATTCCACAGAACAGTGTCAAGTAGGAGAGGGTCAGACTCAGTAGCTGCTACAACTCTTGCCAGAAAGGAAACTAAGAATCCCTAAGGAGTGGCCCAGGCTGACATCATTTGCCTTTGCTGGACTCTACCAGCATGTTCACTGAGGCTGTTAACCACACAGACTTGTGTTGAGCGGAAATGCTTGGGCCTCCCTTCTTGCTACTCAGTGGATGCCTTCAGTGTGGGATGGGCATGATCTAAAGCTGGTAATGAAACACAGCAGCACAGGAAGAAAACACATGGCCCATATCATTACCCAAGTTGATCTGCATTAAAGAAGAACTTGTCAGAAAATAATCACTATTATAAGCACTGCCTCTGGATATGGGGCAGTGTGGGACCATTATAAAAGGCAGCCCAGGTCCTTGCTCCCTCATCCACTACTCCAGCCACCTTCCTCTTCGGAACCAGGTGAGTGTGAGTCCCCTTCTTGTCTCTCTCCCTCTCCAGAAGGCAGCCTGAGCCCCGTGAACCTCTCATCTGCTGTCAACTCTCTTCCATGCCGAATCTTGGAGCTGCTTGTCAGTGAAGAGGGAAGAGGGGAGAAAGTTTTTCTGGGAGGGTGCCTGGGCCTGCACTCGCGGGCTTTCTGGGCTAGGGTCTCAGGAGTAGCTGAATAGGCAGTGGAGGCTCTATCTGGATCCTGAGAGAAGGAGGTCAAGATAGCCTTGGCCCTCTCCAGAATGGCTCCAGCTCCCTGCATTGCATGTGCCTTGGTTCTCTCACTGTGGGATAGCAGATTGTTCCACACTCTCCAGGTTCTCTGTCCAACCCTCTCTCCCAACAGGTGCACATCCAGAACCAAGTCATGTCCTGCTGCAACCCGTGTGTGCCATGCCGGCCCTGCGGCCCGACCCCTCTGGCCAGCAGCTGCAATGAGCCCTGTGTCAGGCAATGCCAGGACTCCACCATCGCCATTGAGCCCTCTCCCGTGGTGGTGATCCTGCCCGGACCCATCCTCAGCTCCTTCCCACAGAACACCGTTGTGGGCTCCTCCACCTCCGCTGCTGTTGGCAGCATCCTCAGCTCTGAGGGCGTGCCCATCACCTCGGGGGGCTTTGACCTCTCCTGCATTTCCAACCGCTACTGTGGCAGAAGGTGCTACTAGAGATGCTGGGCACGGCCCCACACAAGGAACCCCACGATCTCAGGACACGGTGCTGGACAGGAGAACTGACTTTGTGCTGCTGTTTTCAGTGTAGATGACCATGTCTGGCTTGCTCTGTCAGGATAGACAGCAGGGGCCTGGCTGGCTTCTCTGGCAACATGGCCAATGTCTACCAATATTCTCTTCCACTCACTCTTTCTCACTCTTCTCTTTGTTGTCTTCTGCTCTCCCTAAATCTGTCTGTGATGGTCCCAGAAACCAACCGAGTGAACTGCCAGCCTCTCTCATTCATGAGCACTTAGATAGCTGTCCTCCTGTGGCAACTCTGCCATAGGAAAAGGGGATCAGATTCTTGTCTGCACCTGCTGCTCCCCACACTTGGGGCCTCCACTTGGAGTGACGTCATTTCCCTCCTTAGACTCAATAAACTTTTTCTGCATCCTTCGTTGTGTCCCTCTGTGATTTTTTCTACTTCTGCTTACTATGGTCAGATGAGAGAACTCTTGCTCTGATGGGAATTAGCACAAATCCATCACTCCCTTGAGCACTGGAGGGTGGGGCACACTGTAGACATTCATCCTTCATTCACGTCTAGAGCTACGTCTAGGGCAGCCTTGCCTATTGTTCACAAGGTCTCGTCAGGCTCTTTGTTAGTCTAGGACAGTTGCTGAATGGAGCATCTAGCTGGGTTACTTCCGAGTTTGCCCTTGGTTTGAGCCCCATTCAACCTGGGCCTGAGAGCAGCAGATCACAGTTTTGTGTAAAAGAGATTTTCTGCAACTCTGCTCTTCTATACCTTTCAAAGAGAATCTGAAATTCTTCTAAGCACTCCTAGGGATCCTGATTGATGTTTGTAGAATTCTGTGGTATACAGGATATTCTATGGTGGATGGCAATTTTGCAACTCTGGCAAAAGCTCACTGGACTTAGTAGTGGTTCACACTGGATACAGTACATGCAATGTTTCCAAAGGAAATCTTAAATCTGGCAAATGCCAAACCTTTTTGTCTCTCTTTTATTTATTTATTTATTTATTTATTTATTTATTTATTTATTTATTTATTTTAATATGAAAACTTTTTAAAGCATAGCATAGATATGTTTTTTTTTTTTTCCTGTGGGGTGATGCAAATTGATACTGAAATTCCTCTGTTTTCCCTTGGGCAAAGGGAAGCTGCAGTCAAGCTTCTTGCTCTTCACCCAAGCCAGAACAGTGGGGAAAGCCTTCTCCTGGGGAGTCTCTTTTGAGGTTGCATTTGCGGGATGGTGGTAGTACTGGGTTTGGATGGTTTTCAGATAGGGGTGTCTAGGGACATTTACAGTGTCACTGCTATTATGTTGAAGCCATCGATCCCAGATGCAGTGTCACCAGCTCCCTCCTGTTGGTCTCTCTAGGTATTCCTTCCTCTCCTAATTGCTGCATCCCCTGACAAAGAGCCTCTGAAACTCAAAGTTACTGCACCCCAAGGAGTCAGCAGTCTCAGAAAAATCCTTTCAGATGTGCCAGGAACTGGAGCTGCCTCATGGAAACAGATTAGCTTTTGAAAACTACTAGAAGGCACCGGAGAAAGGATAGATGAAATCCAAACACTCCAACCTTTCTTCCATCCCGTCAAACTAAGAGTGGCTAAGCTTGCACCAGCACCTGACACCAACACAGAGAGGTGACACTGCATGTTCTGGGTCTTGCCGGAACTGGGCATAGGATCAAGATAATTCTGTGCACATGTGCACTAGCATCATGTGCGCACACACATTGCACACTCAGATACATAGGCAGGACAAAATATACCTGCACCTGCATGTAGGTGTAGTTACATCAATGTACTCACAAATGCATATGCAAACAGTGCATGCACAGAAATATGACCTCGTGCATGCACACCTACACATATAAGGTACACATGTGCACTCACTCACTGGAATGGATGGAGGCCATGGGGAGCTGGCTGAGTAGACACAGAGGACCTTTCTGGTAGGGCAAATCTGCAATGCTCTGAGCAGGACAAGCCTCCAGATGAGTTGACAATATAGTTTGTGAAAGTATAGGGACTGCTCAGAGGAGTCCAGGGATGTCAAGCAATTTCTCCAGAGAGCAGCTGGGTGAGGAAGAGAAATGAATGCCACTGGGAAGCCAACCACAGGTCCACAGGTGACTCCTAGAGCAAGTTAGGAGGGAGGTGAAAACAAAGAAATGGTACAATGTCATGCAGGGAAGCTCTTGTGTGTTCAGTCAAGGATTGCAGGGCTGGGAGCTGCTGGGCCCTTGCTGTCATTGTGGCCAGAAACAATGCCTTCAGCGTGCCCCAGGCAAACATTACTTGTTTTTGCTGGAACCATCTGACACTGCTCAGTTCTCTGCCATCACTGACTCATTCCTTGACCAGAATTCCTGGGGCTTCTCAATCCCAGCACTCAGAAGAAGCTTCCATGAGGGAATGAGTGCAGCATAAGCCAGGAAATGAAGTGGCAGTGTAAGGGAAAAGAACCACATATTCTATGTAATTAGCTGAGATATTTTCCATTCATCATGAGCTGCCTGGAAAATTGTCACTTCTGTAGAGGTACCTCTGGGCTGGGGCAGAGCACGATCACTCTAAAATCCACAACCTCTCTGGGCAGCCCATTCCACTGCTCTGTTCACCCTCACCGTGAAGAAGTTTTTATACATATTGGTGTGGAACTTCTTATGTTCCAGTTTATGGTCTTTTCCCCTTACCTTGTCCCCTCAGACTACTGAGAAGAGGTTGACCATATCCCTTTGATATTTATAAACATTAATAAAATCCCCTCTGAGTCTTCTTTTCTCAAGGTTGAACAGATCCAGGTCATCCAGCTTTTTCTCATAGGGGAGATGCTCCATGCCCTTTCTCACCTTTGTTGTCCTCCACTGGTCTGTTTCCAGGAGATTCCTGTCTTTTTTGTACTGGGGAGCCCAGAACTGGACGCAGTACTCCAGGTGAGGCCTGATCAGGACAGAGTAGGGGGGGGAATGTTGACTTCTCTTGACCTGCTGGCCATGTTCCTTTTAATGCACCCCATTCGCCTTCTTGGCCACAAGGGCACACTGCTGGCTCATGGCCAACTTGTCATCCACCAGATCCCCCGTGTTCTTCTCCACAGAACTCCTCTCCGGTAGGTCATCCCCAACCTGCACTGATACATGTGATTAGGAAGGTCTTTCTTACACTAAAACTACAAGTGATAGTCTAGATAAGGAACCCTAGGAACTGAGAAGCTCGTGCTGGACTGAGGACCGAGCTCCTGGTCATTGATATCAGAAAGACAGAGCTTCCAGTGTTCCCCTTCCAAAGGAGGGAAGAATGGATTCCCTGTAATCTTGGCCTAAGCTTGTCTCTGTATCTGTTACTATCTCCAATCTCTTCTATGTCTTCTGTTCTTCCAGACTGTAAGATACCCAAATGGCAAAATGGGAGATCTGCTGGCCCCTCTCTTTCTGTTGAGCAGGAAGATGGATGCTTTGTGGCATCTCCATTGTGTGGTTGGTGCAGTTTTGTCATCTCTAAGTGCTACCTGGACAGACAGACACCTATAAGCGAGCTCATTTCCTTTCTCATAGTCAGTAAAATTTTCTATGTCCCAGCCTCAGCCTTCATGTAATTCCTTTAATCTCAAGTTGCTAGGAATGGAAGATTCTTTCTGGCAGGGGATGAGGACACAAGGGGGCCTTTTGTGCCGTGCACAGTATTTGTGTCTCACACATCATCCTCATCTCTAAATTGAAGGGATTTGTATTTAACAGATGAGCCACTCAGTGGATAAGGAACTGGCTAGAAGGTTGCACTCAAAATGTTATGGTAAACAACTTGATGTCCGGGTAGAGAGAAGTGACAAGTAGTGTTCCATTCTGGGATTGGCATTATTTAACAACTTGTCAGTGGGACTGGATCATGGGATTGAAGGCAGCCTCAGCAAGTTTGCTGACAACACCAAGCTGTGTAGTATTATTGACATGCTGGAGAGAAAGGATGCCACTCAGAAGAACCTTGACTGGCTTAAAAGAGCAGCTTGATCTAGTGAAAGGCATCCCTACCCATGGTAGTGTGCTTTCTTTCCAACACAAACTATTCTATAGTTATCTCATTCCTGGAGGTACACAGTAGTAGGACACAGGCTGTAAAACCCTTTCAGTTACTGCCCTTTGGAGCTCAGGAAGAGTTCTCCAACTCCACCAGAGCCAGCACATCAAAGCTTGTGCAGAAGGGAATTCTGCTCTAAACAGCAGTGTCCTGGGGAAAGGGACTCAGGCATAAGATAGCACCAAATGATCCAGGAGTGTAGAAGGCATGTTAAACACTCTCTACAACAGCCCCTAACTCCTCCTTATCCTCCCATATCTATGCAGAATCTGGAGGCATGGTTTGAGAGCAAAGAAGGAAGGGTGTCAGAGGTCAATGTCAGAGGGTAGTGAAACACTGGAACAGATTTCCCAGAGAAACTGTGGTTGTTTCATCCTTAGCAGTGCTCAAGACCAAGTTCACTGGGGTCCTGGGCAATCTTATCTAGTGAATAGTGACCCTGCCCATGGCAGGAGGGTTAGAACTAGATAATTTTTAAGGTTTATTCCAACTCAAGCTATTCTATGGTTCTACATGATTTTATAATTCTATGTACCCTCCAAACTCCAGAGTACCCTGCACAGCCCAGAAGTCAAACAGTGTTGCAAAGCTGAAAGGACTCACAGATGATTAATTGAAATTAGCCAGATCACACACAAAAGCCTTCATTCACCTTGCACACACCCAGCTCCTATCAGACAGGGCCGTCCAAGACAGTATCCAAGGCGATAGCCACACAAGGAAGAATTTCCTTACTATGAGAGTGACAGAGCACTGGAACAGGCTGCCCAGAGAGGCTGCAGAGTCTCCTTCTCTGGAAACATTCAAAACTTGTCTGGACACTTTCCTGCGTGACCTACTGTAGGGAACATGCTTTGTCAGTAGGGTTGGACCTGATCATCTCTAGAGGACTTTTCCAAT